GAGACACTCTGGGTTTTGGGACGAGGAAGTGGAAAAGGACCAGAACATTGGAATAAATAAAACATGAATCACTTTTTCATCAAGATTCACTTCTTTTACCCACAAAGATAAAGACGAACACCAGGGGCACGACTGAGGAGAGGGGGAGGGTTAGGTGGAGGAGGGGGGAGGGTAGGGGAGGAGGGAGAGGGGGGGAGGTGGAGGAGGGGGAGGGGGAGGGGTTAGGTGGAAGGAGGAGAGGGGGAGGGGTTAGGTGGAGGAGGGAGGGGAGGGGTTAGGTGGAGAGGGGGGAGAGGGGAGGGGTTAGGTGGAGGAGGGGGAGAGGGGAGGGGTTAGGTGGAGGAGGGGAGAGGGGGAGGGGTTAGGTGGAGGAGGAGGAGAGGGGGAGGGTTAGGTGGAGGAGGAGGAGAGGGGAGGGGTTAGGTGGAGGAGGAGGGGGAGGGGTTAGGTGGAGGAGGGGGAGAGGGGGAGGGTTAGGTGGAGGAGGGGAGGGGTTAGGTGGAGGAGGGGAGAGGGGGAGGGGTTAGGTGGAGGAGGGAGAGGGGGAGGGGTTAGGTGGAGGAGGAGGAGAGGGGGAGGGTTAGGTGGAGGAGGGGGAGGGAGGGGTTAGGTGGAGGAGGGGGAGGGTTAGGAGGAGGGGGAGAGGGGGAGGGGTTAGTGGAGGAGGGGAGGGGGAGGAGGGGGGAGGGGGGGTTAGGTGGAGGGAGGGGAGGGGAGGAGGGGGAGGAGCTTTGTGCAGAGGAGAGTTTGGGGTCGGCAGCAGAAGGATCCTGAAGCATTTTAAAACTTAAATTTACACCATGGACCTGGAATGTCCCGCAGTGCGGCATTAAACTGAAGCAGACGGGTCCTTCAGTCTGAGTTACAGGTCAGATCTGTGGAGAGGCTCAGTCTGAATGAAAAACGCCGCACGGTGGAACATTCCAGGCAAAGAGAGAAAACTGTAAATGCAACAGCCGTTTCCAGCGTTTTAAACCACAGGAGTCGGGGGGGGATGGGGGGGATGGGGGGTGTAGTTTGGACAGGTGAGGTGTGACAGGTGCGTGGTGGGCGGGGCGGTGGGCGGGGTCAGGGCCGGCGGTCTCAGTGACGCGCCGCAGACTCGCGGGGGTAGAACTCGGCGAGCGTGCTCTGTGGGATCCTCTTCAGCATTTCTTTGGGGAAGATTCGCAGCAGCTGCCAGCCGATGTCCAGCGTCTCGTACACGGTGCGATTATCGTACGGACCTGAGGGAAACAAACACATCGCCACGGCAACGGGCTCGTCACGCCGACCACAAAACATCAACACGTGTCCTGTGTCCTGTGGGTTTAGCTCAGGACACTGGCTTTTCTGGATTATAAACTGCAGTTTAATTTTAATTCTTTCATTTTCATTTTGTGGTTTTGTTTCTGACGTCGAACTGATTTTCTGTCGCTCAAAAATCTGTCAGAAAGTTTCAGTACGACTTTGGTAAAGTACGAAGTCGCTCCGTTTGATGGACTGCGACTCCGAGTCTCACGGAGTAAAAAACATTCACCAAGATCCATGGGTCAGTCACTCATTTGTTTAAAAAAAATAAAATAAAAATCATATTTTCTTCATTATTTGTCTCCAAAACCAAAATAAAAAAAAAAAAAAAAAAACTGATAATGAATCGTTTTTTCAGTTTTTGATTTTGTGATTAAATGAAAAATGGAAAAAAAATGATAATGGACAAAATGAACCAAAGGAAACCAGGACTGAAACCAATGAACCAGGACTAAACCAGGACTGACTAAACCAGGACTCAGGACTGAACCAGGACTGAACCAGGACTGACTGAACCAGGACTAAACCAGGACTGAACCAGGACTAAACCAGGACTGAACCAGGACTGAAACCAGGACTGAACCAGGACTAAAACCAGGACTGAACCAGGACTGAACCAGGACTAAACCAGGACTGAACCAGGACTGAACCAGGACTGAACCAGGACTAAAACCAGGACTGAACCAGGACTGAACCAGGACTAAACCAGGACTGAACCAGGACTAACCAGGACTGAACCAGGACTAAACCAGGACTGAACCAGGACTGAACCAGGACTGAACCAGGACTGAACCAGGACTGAACCAGGACTGAACCAGGACTGAACCAGGACTAAACCAGGACTGAACCAGGACTGAAACCAGGACTAAACCAGGACTGAACCAGGACTGAACCAGGACTGAACCAGGACTGAACCAGGACTGAACCAGGACTGAACCAGGACTAAACCAGGACTGAACCAGGACTGAACCAGGACTGAACCAGACTAAACCAGGACTGAACCAGGACTGAACCAGGACTGAACCAGGACTGAACCAGGACTGAACCAGGACTGAACCAGGACTGAACCAGGACTGAACCAGGACTGAACCAGGACTAAACCAGGACTAAACCAGGACTAAACCAGGACTGAACCATTCTCAGTCCTGATCACCTGACAGTCTCTCTCTGGATGCACCTCTGGGCTCGTCCGGGTTCATGGAAACAGGAAACAGCTGTTTTCTGTTTTTTTCATTTTGGTTTTGGAGACAAATAATAAATTAATAAAATAGTTGTTTTTTCATTTTCTTATTTTTGGTTTCGGATCCGGGACGAGACTCGGATCCGGGACGAGACTCGGATCCGGGACGAGACTCGGATCCGGGACGAGACTCGGATCCGGACTCACGGATGAAATCGCCCAAACGTGCGACTCTGAAGATGAAGAGTCTGAGGTTTTGTGGAAGAATGAACAGAAAAAGTGAACGTGTTGTTTTGTATTTTATGTGTTAAAACTGAACAGTGTTGAGTTTTTGTGAATGAGCTGAATAAAGTTTGTCTGTTTTATTTGATTTCAACTTTATTCATGTTGTTGGTTATTGCAGGTGAGATAATTGGTCTGTTATTCATGTTCTTCATGTTCTTCATGTTCTTCATGTTGATGTTGGATTTCAGGACAAACGGTGAAATAAAAGTCCAGGATAAAGATGATGAAGATGAAGATGAGGATGAGGAGGAGCTGAGTGTGTGAAGGTCTGTGTGTGAAGGTCTGTGTGTGAAGGTCTGTGTGTGAAGGTCTGTGTGTGAAGGTCTGTGTGTGAAGGTCTGTGTGTGAAGGTCTGTGTGTGAAGGTCTGTGTGTGAAGGTCTGTGTGTGAAGGTCTGTGTGTGAAGGTCTGTGTGTGAAGGTCAGAGTGTGTGAGAGGCGCCTGACTCGTGTTTCTCTCTCGTCTGGTTTGTGGAAGTTCTCGTTGTGGAAACTCGAGTCACTTCTTTGTTGAGTTAAACTCGGGTCATGTGACTCACCCTGAGCGATGAAGTTCTTCTCAAACTTCTGCAGAAACTCCAGGTACAAAAGGTCGTCAGAGGTCAGAGCCTCCTCCCCCACCACGGCCTTCATGGCCTGGACGTCTTTACCGATCGCATAACACGCGTACTGAAAAATAAAAAAATATATACACACGTACTACACAAAAACACACAATACACAACACGTGTACTGAGAAAAAAACACACATATTGTACAAATATAAAACACACAGTGTGGGACACTACAGAGGACAGAGCTGTTTGAGACAACATCTACAGTATGTTTCATTATAAACAACACACACGCACACACACACACACACACACACACACACACACACACACACACACACACACACACACACTGAACCTTCATGGCCAAGACGTCTTTATATTTCAGATTTCAGTATACAAAGAAAACTAAACATATGATTCATTATAAAAGGACACTAGAGAGGACACTAGAGGAACTAGAGAGGACACTAGAGAGGACACTAGAGAGGACACTAGAGAGGACACTAGAGAGGACACTGGAGAGGACAGTAGAGAGGACACTAGAGAGGACACTAGAGAGGACACTGGAGAGGACACTAGAGAGGACACTAGAGAGGACACTAGAGAGGACAGAGGACACTAGAGAGGACACTGGAGAGGAAGAGGACAGAGAGACACTAGAGGACACTAGAGGACACAGAGAGACACTAGAGAGGACAGGAGAGAGACAGTAGAGAGGACACTAGAGAGGACACTGGAGAGGACAGTAGAGAGGACACTAGAGAGGACACTAGAGAGGACAGTAGAGAGGACACTAGAGAGGACACTAGAGAGGACACTAGAGAGGACACTGGAGAGGACAGTAGAGAGGACAGTAGAGAGGACACTAGAGAGGACACTAGAGAGGACACTGGAGAGGACAGTAGAGAGGACAGTAGAGAGGACACTAGAGAGGACACTAGAGAGGACACTAGAGAGGACAGTAGAGAGGACACTAGAGAGGACACTAGAGAGGACAGTAGAGAGGACACTAGAGAGGACACTAGAGAGGACACTAGAGAGGACACTGGAGAGGACAGTAGAGAGGACACTAGAGAGGACACTAGAGAGGACAGTAGAGGACGCTGCTTTGTGGAGGATAACGAGGCACCAGCAGCTCAAAGCTCCTGTTATTACAGACGAACTGTGCACGATTTAAACTGCAGAAGAAGTACAAGTACAAATACAAGTACAAGTACAAATACAAGTACAAGTACAAGTACGAGCAGGAGCAGTTTAAGTAACAGTAGTAGTAGTATTTACAGTAGTAGTATATTTTACCAGTTGGTTGGAGACGTCTGCGTGGTCTTTCCGGGTCATTCCTTCTCCGATGGCCGACTTCATCAAACGAGACAGAGACGGAAGAACGTTGATGGGAGGATAAATCTGAAAGAAAAAAAATCATGATAAAAATGAATCAGTTTGAGCCAGAGCTTCACTGGAAACTCACACTCTTCACTCTGATGTAAACTACTACTGTAGCCACAGCTGCCCTGGGACAGACTGACAGAAGTGCAGCTGTCAATCTGCACCATCCGTCCCTCTGACCACCAACACACACCTCATACAGGCCACTGTGGCTGAAGTGTCTTGCCTAAAGACACAACAACAGGTTTTGTGTCTGTGGCTCCTGATGTTTCCAGAGTCTCATCCAAGAAGTGAGCAGAGTCTGAACCTCTGAGGTCTGACGGGACCTGACTTTGACAAACTGTCCTGGACCTGGACCCAGTCCCAGGTCCCGGGTCCCGGGTCCCGGGTCCCAAGTCCCAGGTCCCAGGTCCCAAGTCCCAGTCCCAGGTCCCAGGTCCCAGGTCCCAAGTCCCAGGTCCCAGGTCCCAGGTCCCAGGTCCCAGGTCCCAGGTCCCAGGTCCCAGGTCCCAGGTCCGTGTCCTGTACCTGTCTGTTGTGCAGTTGTCTGTCCACATAGACTTGTCCCTCTGTGATGTACCCGGTCAGATCAGGAATGGGGTGAGTGATGTCTGAAACAAAACACACACTTTAACACTTTAACACTTTAACACTTTAACACTTTAACACTGTTCATTTCTTAAGCTTTCACAGTCTGGTCCAGGTCAAATTTGGCCCAGACCAAGAATTCCCTCACAGCAGGCGTCTGTACCAAATAAATAGACTGTCCCACATGAAGAAATATATATTTAAATATATTTTTGTCAGTTTTACAACACACAGTATCATGTCCTGTTTTACAAAACAAATAAAAACTAAAAAGCCAAAATGATGATGATATTTTATTACATTTGAAAATGACATGAATATTCTGGAACTGTTGGAATTTATAATATAACCATGTTTATCCACTGCAACATTCTGCTTATTTCAAAGCAGTGGGATATAAAAGTATAACACTTTTAATATTTTCATTTTTGTGTATTTTGGCAAAATTTTGGAAAAGTCATAAAATTTCAGGATCAAAGAATGATGCTTAGTGTATTTTTACTACTGTTGAATGTCAAAACGGGTCAAAATTAACCCAAATAGTCTGTAAGGGTTAAGGGGTTAACACTTTAACACTTTAAAACTAACACTTTAACACTTTAACACTTTAAGTCTGACGCTCGTTTAGAGAATGAAAAACTCCGGCAGTGACGTCTGTGTGTTGTGTGCAGCACAGACACGGGACAAACAGGGAGTATTATACTTCTGTACTCTCTTTGCTCCCTGTGCTAAGTCGCTCCCCCTTCACAACACACTCCTCGTGTGCCTCACGTCAAGTTTGTCCAGTCGCTGTGTTCAGTTTTGCATCGTGTTTTTGTGTTTTTATGGCGAGTTGTGGTGTGGGCGGAGCCTCGTATAGGCTCGTTCTGCTCACCGTTTGAGCGTTTGAATTGGGTGAGATTGGGAGAGAACGTCTATGGAGTAAGAAGCTGTCAAAAATATTCGTGCGCATAAAATAGAAATCCGTGTGTATTTGGGAAATCTGTGCATATTTGTCTGTAGTTGCGCATAAAATAAATATTTGTAAACTCTCAAATGAGTCCAGTCGTACATAAAATATATTGTGTGTATTTTATCCATCAGAATATGAATTGAAAAATTACCACATCATGAATTACAATCACCAAATGAAAATGTACGATTACACTTTCATCAGTACAAATACGAATTCACAGACGGAACTTTACTGTCAAAAATACATCATCACTTCACAGACATTATCCATCGAGCAGAAGAAACATGGATCAAGATCAAGACTGAGCAGCTCAAGTTTGTATCAGAGTAAAAACAGAGGAATGACACAAGAAGAAACAACAGAACAACAAGTGGGTTCATTCAAATCTATTGTAAAAATGTCTTGAATTCAGGAACCGAACGCTGCTGTATAATATTGTGTAGAAACACCTCCTCTGAACGGGAAACTGCACCTATATGTTAGAAAACATAGTGGAGCCAGTTGGAAACATCAGACGTAACGTTCTCCCAGGATCATTAACAAATATCAGGTTCTCTGTGTGTTTAGATTAAAACATTCACGACTCCAGCCACAGCGAACATCAGTCAGTCTGAACCTTCAGCTGCATTTCAGACAATGGGTTATACATGAGTTATAATGGGTTATACATGTGTTATAATGGGTTATACATGAGTTATAATGGGTTATACATGTGTTATAATGGGTTATACATGTGTTATAATGGGTTATACATGAGTTATAATGGGTTATACATGTGTTATAATGGGTTATACATGAGTTATAATGGGTTATACATGTGTTATAATGGGTTATACATGAGTTATAATGGGTTATACATGATGTTATAATGGGTTATACATGTGTTATAATGGGTTATACATGTTATAATGTTATACATGTGTTATAATGGTTATACATGAGTTATAATGGGTTATACATGTGTTATAATGGGTTATACATGTGTTATAATGGTTATACAGTTATAATGGTTATACATGTGTTTATAATGGGTTATACATGTGTTATAATGGGTTATACATGTTATAATGGTTATACATGTGTTATAATGGGTTATACATGTGTTATAATGGTTATACATGAGTTATAATGGGTTATACATGTTATAAATGGGTTATACATGAGTTATAATGGGTTATACTATAATGTATACAGTTATAATGGGTTATACATGTGTTATAATGGGTTATACATGAGTTATAATGGGTTATACATGAGTTATAATGGGTTATACATGAGTTATAATGGGTTATACATGTTATAATGGTTATACATGTTATAATGGGTTATACATGAGTTATAATGGGTTATACATGTGTTATAATGGGTTATACATGAGTTATAATGGGTTATACATGAGCAAATCCATCCACCTCACGGTGACGTTAAACTTACGGTAAATACTGTAAACATACCAAGGTGTTGCCTGTAAACACCAACATTAATTGATGCTGGAAGCTGCATTAAAGTGTAATGTGGAACATTTCATTGGCTGTGACGTCTGTAACCAGGACAGTTTGGTGTTTGGTGTAAACTGGGACATTTCAGCGTAAAGAGGAACTTTTGGTGGCATTTCATGCGAGAAATGCAGCTGAAGGTTCAGACTGACTGATGTTCGCTGTGGCTGGAGTCGTGAATGTTTTAATCTAAACACACAGAGAACCTGATATTTGTTAATGATCCTGGGAGAACGTTACGTCTGATGTTTCCAACTGGCTCCACTATGTTTTCTAACATATAGGTGCAGTTTCCCGTTCAGAGGAAGTGTTTCTACACAATATTATACAGCAGCGTTCGGTTCCTGAATTCAAGACATTTTTACAATAGATTTGAATGAACCCACTTGTTGTTCTGTTGTTTCTTCTTGTGTCATTCCTCTGTTTTTACTCTGATACAAACTTGAGCTGCTCAGTCTTGATCTTGATCGATGTTTCTTCTGCTCGATGGATAATGTCTGTGAAGTGATGACGTATTTTTGACAGTAAAGTTCCGTCTGTGAATTCGTATTCGTACTGATGAAAGTGTAATCGTAAATTTTCATTTGGTGATTTTAATTCATGACGTCGTCATTTTTCAATTCGTATTCTGATGGATAAAATACACACAATATATTTTATGTACGACTGGACTCATTTGAGAGTTTACAAATATTTATTTTATGCACAACTACAGACAAATATGCATGGATTTCTATTTTATGCGCACAAATATTTTTGACAGCTTTCTTACTCCATAGATCTCCAGATGACTCAAACATGCATGGACGAGTCTAGAACCTCTTCAGACATGGAACAGTGTTAGAATGTGAGAGAACGGTTTTAAAAGACTTGAACAAACTGAACTAAATAAATGAGTTTCAGAGAGTTTTCAGTGTGTCGTGGTTTGGGTGATGCCGTGCGTTTGTGTGTCCCGTGTGCATGGCGTGTGGCGTGCGTCGTGTGCGTGCGTGCGTGCGTGCGTGCGTGGCGTGGCGTGCATGCGTGTGCATCGTGCGTGCGTGTGCGTGCGTGTGCGTGCGTGGCGTGCGTGGCGTGCGTCGTGTGCATGGCGTGCGTGCGTGGCGTGCGTGGCGTGCGTGGCGTGCGTGGCGTGCGTACCGTCGTTGGGCATGGTGAGGATGGGGATCTGGGTGATGGAGCCGTTGCGTCCCTCCACTCGCCCGGCGCGCTCGTAAATCGTGGCCAGATCGGTGTACATGTACCCGGGGAAACCTCTGCGCCCAGGAACCTCCTCACGAGCAGCAGACACCTGCAGAGAGAACGACACGTCAGACGGACGACAGGAGAAACGAGAAGAAAGAGAAAGAGAAAAGGAGGAGAGAGGAGAGAGGGAGAGTCTAACCCTCTGTTAAAAGACAATAGATGTTCAGCTTATCAAACCCTCATCTTGTCTGACCTCAGACCTGGTCTGGACCTGGTCTGGACCTGGTGACCTGGTCTGGACCTGGTCTGGACCTGGTGAGGCTCTGTTGATCTTCAGAGGTCAGACTAGATCAGGTTGTGAAAAGAGTTTTGGTCACAGCTTCGACGTGACTGAACGAGTATCAGAGAAGAACGAGCCGGACGTCAGAGTGGGCGGGGAAAGGTGGAGGGGGAAACGAGGCAGATCGGAGCAATGACGTCTTGAGTACAGGAGAATAAAGATGATCACACAAACACAACTCTGAGTTCTCCAAAAAGGACACAGTGAAACAGGATCACAAGTCAAATATTCAGAATCTGCCTCCTTTACTGAAAAAACTCTGAGTCACAGCTGATTAACTGTTTAAATCAGTTTAAATCAGTTTAAATCAGTTTAATCAGTTTAATCAGTTTAAAGGAGCCAGTCTCTCGTGGGTTTATTTCGCTCTTGTGGAGGTTTTCACTTTTCTCTCGTTTTCTGAAGTGAAGAAAATGGAGGTTGGGTTTTGTCAGAGTCGAGCGACGCCACAAAGCCAACGCCAAATGACCAAGAGTGCCGCGTTTGTACTTCCTGGGTCAAAGGTCAGCGCAGGAAAAAGAGGAGCGAGTGAATGGGTTGAGGCGAGGTGGAGGACGAGAGAAGATGAGGAACGAAAGAGCAGGAGGAGGACAAAGAGTCATTATAGAGAGAGAAGAGAGAGAAAGAATAACTGCAGAATATAGAAGTCAAGGTGAAGCCCGGAGAGAAAAAGAAAGAAAGAAAGAGAGAAAGAGAGAAGGAGGGGATATAATGGAGGAGAAATGACAGGGATAGAGAGATGTGCGAGAGAGGAGAGAAATAATAAGAGTGGAATAAAATGTAGTCAAGGTAAAAAGCAGAGAGAGAGAGAGAGAGAGAGAAAGAATAACAGTGGATATTGTCGAGGTGAAAAGCAGAGAAAAGAGAAATAATGAGTGGAGTAGAGATGTAGTGAGAGAGAAGAGAGAGAGTTTAGAGAGAAAGAAGGAGGAGGAGGAGAGAAAGAAAAACAGCAGAACATTTATTCAAGGCAAAAGGCAGAAAGAAAAAGAAGAGAAAAGAGAAAGAGAACACTGGGTTTTATTAGTTAAAGTTCTGACTTCTTGGTTTTAATCTGAATCTGTTTGTACAAGTCCGACTGTTGCTCCTCCCCCCATCCGTCCTGAGAAAGCACAGGCTCCGCCCCCCAAAGGCAACGTAGGCGACGAGTGAGCCGCCCTTCCTCCGCCCGTCTCAGGAAGGGAGGGAGGGGGAGACAGGTGCGGCCCTGACAGCGACAGGAGTAAACTTTTATTCATCACGGAGATACAGCGCGTTCAGACGCATGTGTTGGACCCGGACGAGGACGAGGACGGAAGACGAGTCACAACAAACACAAACGCCGCAACACAAATGCAAAAGCCGCAACACAAACGCAAAAGCCGCAACACAAATGCAAAAGCCGCAACACAAACGCAAACGCCGCAACACAAATGCAAAAGCCGCAACACATTAAAAAGACACAACAGAAGTGACCATGGGACTCTATTTTCCGACGGACCGATCAAGTGTCAAGTGAAGAAGAAGAACTACAACGTGAAAAGTAAAGGAACACAGAAGTTGGAAACGTAAGTAAAAGTAATTTATTGTTTTATCATTATTTGTTTCACGTTGTAGTTGTTCTTCTTCACTTGCCGCTTGATCGGTCCGTCGGAAAATAGAGTCCCGACGTCACTTCTGTTGTGGCTTTTTAATGTGTTGTGGCTTTTGTGTTTGTTGTGACCCTCTCGGCTTCTGTAGACGAGGACTTTGAGGAGCACGAAGCTCAAGCACCACGTCCACATCAGCTGAACATTACTGATTGGTAAAGTTTAATAAACACGAGTAAATAAACACATTATATCCTGTGTGAGCGGGCGGAGGCAGAGGAGGCGGAGGAGGTGGAGGAGGCGGTGGAGGTGGAGGAGGCGGAGGAGGCGGAGGAGGCGGAGGTGGTGGTGGAGGAGGAGGTGGAGGAGGTGGAGGTGGTGGAGGAGGAGGAGGTGGAGGAGAGGCGGAGGAGGAGGTGGAGGTGGTGGAGGAGGTGGAGGTGGTGGTGGAGGAGGCGGAGGTGGTGGAGGAGGAGGCGGAGGAGGCGGAGGTGGTGAGGAGGCGGAGGAGGCGGAGGAGGTGGAGGAGGGGAGGTGGTGGAGGAGGCGGAGGAGGTGTGGAGGTGGCGGAGGAGGTGGTGGAGGTGGAGGAGGGGAGGAGGTGGTGGAGGAGGGGAGGTGGTGGAGGAGTGGTGGAGGAGGCGGAGGAGGTGGTGGAGGAGGAGGAGGTGGAGGTGGTGGAGGAGGTGAGGTGGAGGTGGTGGAGGTGGAGGAGAGGAGGCGGAGGTGGCGGAGGAGGAGGAGTGGAGGTGGAGGAGGAGGAGGTGGAGGAGGTGGAGGAGGGGAGGAGGTGGAGGAGGCGGAGGTGGAGGAGTGGTGGAGGAGGGAGGTGGAGGAGGTGGAGGAGGTGGAGGAGGCGGAGGTGGTGGAGGAGGCGGTGGAGGAGTGGAGGTGGTGGAGGGAGGAGGAGGAGGTGGGTGAGAGGAGGTGGTGGAGGAGGTGGTGGAGGAGGCAGGAGGTGGTGGAGGAGGTGGTGGAGGTGGAGGAGGTGGAGGGAGGCGGAGGAGGTGGAGGAGGTGGAGGAGGTGGAGGAGGCGGAGGGAGGAGGTGGAGGAGGCGGAGGTGGAGGTGGAGGTGGTGGATGCGGAGGTGGAGGAGGTGGAGGAGGAGGTGGAGGAGGTGGTGGAGGTGGAGGAGGAGGAGGTGGAGGAGGAGAGGAGGTGGAGGAGGTGGAGGAGGTGGTGGAGGAGGTGGAGGAGGTGGTGGAGGAGGCGGAGGTTGGTGGAGGAGGCGGTGGAGGAGGTGGAGGTGGCGGAGGTGTGGTGGAGGGAGGAGGAGGAGGCGGAGGAGGTGGTGGAGGTGGTGGAGGAGGTGGGGAGGTGGTAGAGGAGGCGGAGGAGGCGGAGGAGGAGGCGGTGGTGAGGTGGTGGAGGAGGCGGAGGAGGCGGTGGAGGAGGTGGAGAGGCGGTGGTGGGGGAGGTGGAGGAGGTGGTGAGGAGGTGGAGGTGGTGGAGGAGGTGGAGGAGGTGGAGGAGGAGGAGGGTGGAGGAGGAGGTGGTGGAGGAGGTGGAGGAGGTGGAGGAGGAGGCGGAGGAGTGGAGGAGGAGGTGGTGGAGGGTGGTGGAGGAGGCGGTGGAGGAGGTGGTGGAGGAGGCGGAGGAGGTGGAGGAGGAGCGGAGGAGGAGGAGGAGGAGGGCGTCATAGGTGAATCTACCGCGTCGTTGTTACAGCAGT